ATATATATATATATATATATATTATATATTATATATATATATATCTTATTTGGCACAGTGAGAATTCTGCCTACAGTGGCAAAGACAGGAAGCAGTTTTGAGATCCCGAAAGGGAGGCAGAGAGCCTGCCAAGCAGAGGGAAGCCAGCAACTTCTTTGTCAGGGCCCTTGAGTTGCCTGTGCTTGGGACACAGTTGGGGTACGTGTTCATGTAGATGCATGTGTGTGTGTGTGAAGGTGTGTGCAGGTGAAGAGGCCAGAGGCCAACTTCAGAGCTGTGCCTCAGTAGCTGCCCACCTTGTTTTTGAGACAGGGTCTTGTATCAGGCTAGGGGCTTGCTGAGTAGGGGAGGCTGGCTGAGGATCCGCCTGTCTCACCATCCCAGTCCTGGGATTACAAACGTGTGCCATCACACTGCGTTTTTATGTAGGTTCCAGGAGATTAAAATCGAGTCCTGATGCAAGGCTACCCCTTTACCAGCTGAACTGCCTCTATAGCTCCCTGAGACACTTTCCATGTAATTCAGTCTACATGGTGCCTGACTGGAGACACAATGGCTACCCTTCAGCTCTTTATTCCTGCCCCAGCCTCCCAGTGGCTGGCATGACGGACATGGACCACTATGCCCAGCTTTCTGACAGCTCCTTCTTTCCAAAGTCTGCTCTGTGTGGCCTCATGGATCACACATCAGCCAGGAGTCAGCCAAGGGACAGAGCCACACAGTGCTTTACACAGGGAAAGACTCAAGAGTGCTTAATCCAAGAGGATTGCCTATTAAGGGGTAAAGAGAATGTTCCAAATGCGGGAATCAAATGTGGGAATCAATATGTGGGAATCAATGTTGTAGCCAGTCGACACGGGCATCTGAGGAAGGAACAAACCTGGAGGTGTCTCACTCAGAGCTGAGGCCCAGGCCTCACTGCAGGGGTTATAGCTATGGCCTTCTGGAAGCCAGGTTTGCTAAAGTCTAGCTCTCCTGTGAGTTTGAAGCTAGTCTGGTCTACAGAGTGAGTTCCAGGACAGAGGCAGGGTTATACAGAGAAACGCTGTATTGAAAAACTAAAAAAAAAGAGTTTGTTGGGCTGACGGTTTGAAGGCACGTCTGTCACGGGGAAGCCATGGCAGCAGGGATGTGGTGCTTTGTCAGGAAGCAGAGAGAGATGAGCGCTGGTACTCAGCGGGCTTTCTCCTCCGTTCTGTCTAGGATCCCAGTCCCCGTTCAGTGGTGCCACTCACAGTTAGGATGGATCTCCCCACCTCAGACCAATCTAGACACCCCGCCACATGCCCAGAGGCTTGTGTCCTGTGTGGTTTTGGATCCTGTTGTTGACAGTATCAGCCATCACACCATGTTGAGCGACAGACAGGCCCAGCAGTCGTGGTCATCAGGGAGTCTTGATTCATTTGGGATTTTGACAGGAAGAATGTGCTCATGCGTGAATTTTCTCTCTATGAAGACTGGGGTAGAGCCAGCACAGCGTGACATATGTAAGAAACTTTCTTAGTTGAATGTTGGCACCCCTCATCCTTACAGAGACGAGAGGTGAGGTCTGAGAACTGTCACATCGGAAGAGAGCAGCCAGGTATGGGGTGAGGCAGGGGGATGGGGATCAGGGTCAGCCTGGCTGGGCAGTGACACCCCATCTCACAAGCAGTGAAAGCTCTGGCCAACAGGGGCTTTTCTGAGACCAGTGTAAGGAAACAGGAGACAAACCCATCCACAGAGCCAGGCGGACTTCAGAGGCCAGCAAGATGGCTCAGTGGAAGTAGATTCAGAATTCTGTGTGCGTTAAGCTTTTTAGTTGGTTTTCTGGGCCCTGTAGAACTTTTTTGTTTTCTGTTTTTCACAGTATCTGCTGTTCAGTGTGTTATTTACACTCTCCAGATCAGTAGTGGGGGGGTTAGAGAGAGCCTAGGCTTCCCGCTTGTCAGCCAAGTCTGGTGGGAGGTGTCTTCCTCGGATCCCTCAGTTACCACACAGGACGAGACCCCTGCCAGATCTGTTGCCGTTTGCATCGCTGAACAGTTTGCTGTTTGTATGAGTTAATTTGTGTGCGCCTGTGGACATGAGGGGCAGAGGTGTTGTCTGTCCCTGGCTGGCAGGAGAAGCCTGTGACTGGGGAGGTAAGGAAGCACAGTGCAGGAGCTCAGGGTCAGAGAGAGATGGCCCAGCCAAGGTCAGGCCACCACCGCCTTGTCCTAAGACCTTGCTCTGCACCTGGGGACCAGGTAAGTCTCTGAGTTTACGAGTACACTCTTCTCATGTGTTAATTTCTTATGCTTTTAAAACTTTCCATTTTCTCTTTTTTTAAACCAGATGTTAAACATTCTGTTCTGAATCTAGAGGTAAGCTTATTTTCAAGAATTCCTGTTTTTAAAAGTAGACTTTTCACTATAATTTGTCCTTTATTTTTTTCTTTTTTATTTATTCATTTTATTTTCTTAAACCATGTGACTTCTGTCTCTGTACTGTGTTTCCATTTCCTGATTAATACATGTTCAATTTTCTTTGCTTCCTTGGATGGAAAACAACTAAAAGGTCTTCTCATAAGAGTTCTTTGTGATGCATGCTTCACTGAATAACCTCCTCCATGGCGAGGTGTTAGAGGGGAGTGACTCAAAGGGGCACTGAGGTGGATTACTGAGGACTGAGGGGTTTGTTAGACTTGTTTATGCCTCAAGCAGACAGACAGACAGACAGACAGACAGACAGACAGACAGACAGAGACAACAGATCTCCAAGTACCTAAGCACCAGAGACAGATAGCATCCCAGGGTCTCCAGAGTACAGGGTCTGAGGAGTTAGAACCCACATAGCAAAAGCAGGGACTCCCTTCCTAAGGATGGAGGAGACATCGAAGCACAGGCCTGCAGTTGGGCTCACTCATCCCCAGGCAGGAGGCAGGGAAGGGGGTGGGTAGCAAGATATGTAGTCATACCCACTTTGATGTAAACTCACTTCCCAGGAGAGAAGTCCTGCTTCCAGGATGCTTGTCATGGAGGGACTTGAATAGATAGTGTCTCAGCAGGGCTCCTGTTAGTGTCTGTAAAGGAGGGTGTTTTGGAAGCTGGAGTCTACCATCACATTCACACACGAACACACACGAACACACACACACACACACACACACACACACACACACACCAGTATTTTGAGGTACTGGGTCTTTTACTGAGAGCCCTGTGCTTTGCTAGGCATGTACATTATGGGTGAACTACATTCCTAATGTATGAACTGAAGGCATGACTGCTCCATGGTATGATTAAGGGGAAGGCTTTTATTGTATCCAGAAAGGAGAATACAGCCAGGGGCATCTGGAAGAGTCCAGAGAGAGGGTAGACTGAGCATGGCCAACAGCCTGGACCTGGCCATGAAGGAGGTGGGGGCGGGGGGGAGGAGTGAGAGGCAGAGACAGAGAGAGAAGCAAGAGAGTGGGAGGCCAGGTGTGAGACCTGGAACCCCTGCACTAGCAGGGTAACAGGGACAGGAGTAGCTGCACCAGCAGGGTTCTAGGGAGCATGAGTAGCTGGGGGAGGGGAGCTCCAGAGCTGGAGGAAGTTTGGTGTAGGAGAAGAACTAGGTACTTGTGATACCCAGGGAACCTGGCAGCCAGCGTGGTGTGCTTTGGTGTTCTAGTAGGCACCTCAGACAGCCGTTTGTCCCTTCTGCCTGCAGTAAGGAAATGGCTTCTTTGGTAGAGGACTGACTTCTCAAGTTCCTGAGGAATGTTGGCTTTTGTCTAACTGCCAGAATTTGGGGAAATGGAGTTTCCTTTGGCCTGGACACCTATCTTCACTTAATACTTATAAACCTGAAAGAAGTTATAGCCTCCAAAGTTTAGTCATGGAAATGACTCATGAAGAGTAAGAAATCGCTTCCGGAATTTTAGAGTGATAGGCAGTTTTAATAACCAAGGTGCGAGCACTGAAAGAAGCTCTCTCCTGAAGTTTCTCCTTTTAGGGATTTAATAGTTAAACATATTTCACCAGATATGGTGGTTGACACCTGGATTCCCAGCACCTGGCCGGGCTTCATCTCATCAGGAGGATTGTGGGCTCATGGGGCAAGGGCTGCAGACCCTGTCTCAGAAAACAAAACAGAACCATATTCTGTGACTCTCAGAAGAGTTACAACCTTACCTGCTTTTCCAGCAGAACTAACATCGCAACCCTACATCCACATGTAGTGGGAAAGCTAAGGGCAGCTCCCAGCCTTCTACTGCTATTAAGAGGCAACCACATTCTGTTTTCTCAGCAGTAAGAGCCCTGCATTGCTGCCCAGTGGGCCGTCAGTGCCCCACACTCACAGCATGCTGTGTGCTTTAGTTACAAAGTGAAGAGACCTTCAGTGGTGATACAGTCACTGCATACTTAGGCAACACTGCATACTTAGGGCACAGCTGGGAGGGAGCCTTCCCAGAGGGGCTGAGCGTGTACTGTTAAGTTGTAAGAAAGCAGTGGGGGTTAAAGTCCAGGTGCTAAAGGAAGACCCTCAGGAGCCAAGTGAGGGGGAAGCTCCGCCCTCCAACCTGCAGCCTTCCTCCGTGCCAGTCCGTGCCAGTCCACTGTGGGAGATGCTCACACATTCTCACACTCTCTCTGCCTTTTCCTCCCTAGGATGAGAAAGTGCCATTGCGTGAAAAGCCTCCTCCCTCCCCAGGTACTGGCCTTTTGGGTTCACTGTGATGAGCATGCTTAGTGTTTACAGAGTGCCTAGAATAGTCTCATCTGAAGGAAAGTTTGCAGCTCCTTGTGAAGGCTCTGGGCTCTGCTGCTGTGATTAGCTTTGGGAAAGTGTTAATCACTAACTATTAGTGGGGTGAAGGGTAGGCCTGTGGGGAGAGCTCAAGAGTTTGTGAGGGTGTGCCTGTGGGATGTGCTTGAGGCCTAGATGTTGATGTTGAAACAGAGGCTCAGCTTGAGGGCTGTGCTTTGCCTGGCTGACCTCTACAGCTGGGGAAGCGGCTATAGAGTTCAAACTGGGTTTGTAGTTTGGAGCTGTTCTGTCTCCCGTTACCCACCTGAAAGTACTATTTTGTCTTTCATCTGGATTAACTGTATTTTTGCTCTTTCTTGGGGATTTTCATCGTGTTCTGCGAGAGCTCTAGTGCCCTAACGTCTGGCTCTCAGGGTCTTTCTCCATTGAGAGTAGCCCCTTGTGTGGCCCGTCTGAGGTCAGGTTGTTCATCACAGCGCTCTGCAACAGGTTCAGAGGAGGAGCCTCAGATGTCCATGTGATCTGGGCTTGGAAACATGGGTTCAGGTCACCCCAAGTGACATTTTCCAGTACAGAAGCAGTTATATGAACTTTTTTTTTTTTTTTGAAAGATTTATTTATTTTATTTATGAGTACACTGTCGCTGTCTTCAGACACACCAGAAGAGGGCATCAAATCTCATTACAGATGGTTGTGAGCCACCATGTGGTTGCTGGGATTTGAACTCAGGACCTCTGGAAGAGCAGTCAGTGCTCTTAACCACTGAGCCATCTCTCCAGCCCAGTTATATGAACTTTTATGGTGACCGAGCACAGCCATAAATCAAGGCCTTTACCAGGTGCACTGAGCAGGTTACTGGCGAAGCCAGGAAACCTCTGCTGTCTCAGATGCTGTCTGAAAGTGTCGCTAGCGTTAGAACTGGTGAGGGCTAGTCGGTTACTAAGTCACTGCATTCCAGAAGATTTACCTGATAGTCAAAGGGCGCTAAGCATGTAGCCTGAAAGCTGGTCCTGCCTCCTCAGGCCCCACCCCTCTGTATGCTGCCCGCTGTGCCTTCCCCTGGCCTCCCTGTCCATCCACACCAGAGACACTGCCCCAGGCCTGATGTGTGAACTAGGTGCTCACATGGCTTTTGAAATAAAGTGTCAAATGTTTTTGATGGTAACTGGTTATATCATAATTATGTGGACTTTCCTCTCTACCCTTTAGATGTAGCTGGTAGAGTACATCAGAGATACACAGAAATAACCAAAGAAAAGTTTGAGGAGTTAAAAGAAGAGACTGTGCACCTGTACACTGCAAACCAAGCCCTCAGCCTTGAACTGAGCGCCCTGAGACAGGCGATGAAGGACTTACAGCTGAAGCTCAAGATGGTGGAGAAAGACAACAGGAAGCTGAAGGAGACAGAAAAGGCCTCCTCTCGGGAAGGTGCGGCCCCCATGGCGCCATTACTGTGGGATAGTCAGGGCTCTTTTATTTTGAGAATTGATGTGTATTTGGATATTTATGTTGTAATATTTAAGACTATATTAGGACCTTTATGTTATTGAATTTTGATTTTACCTGCCATAATGTTTTGGTAGAATGTCTTAACTTATTTATATAAATTATTATACGTGCACATATATATTTCCATACAGTTCACTACAAGGGAACAAAAGACTGACTAGTAGTTTATATAAGGTCTTGGTGACTCTGATACAGTTGGTTGTAGTATAACATTACGTCGGTGTTTTTCAGTAGTCACACCCGAATTGCTTTGCCTAAGGAAGCAAAGCCAAGACCTGATGGATGAAAACGAGGGGCTGAAGATGATTGTCCATCGGCTGAACGTAGAACTCAGTCGCTACCAAACAAAATTCAGGCCTTTGTCTGAGGAAGAGGTAATGTTTCCAACCCCAGAAAAATCAGTCTTTTTGTCTTTAGTCTTTACTGTTGAGTTGATTTCTGGTTCTTGAGAGGTTCTTGGTAGTTCATGCCTTTAATCCCCACACTTGGGTGACAGAGGTAGGTCTATTTCAGTGTATTTGATGTCAGCCTGGTCTACATGACGAGACGCTATTTCCAAAAAAGTTGTTACCATCAGAAAACACTCAGAGAGAGAGAGAGAGAGAGAGAGAGAGAGAGACAGACAGACAGACAGACAGACAGACAGACAGACAGACAGACAGCCTGTCAGCCTGGTAAGTTCAAAGGTAGTCTGAACTACTTTGGCTTTAAGAAAAAGAAAGGGGGCTGGAGAGATGTCTCAACAATACTAACTTGCTGGTGTTTCGGGGTTCACCTCCCAGCACCCACATCAGATAGCTCACAAACACCTGTAACTCCAGCTCAGAGATTTCTGACACCCTCTTTGGGCCTCTTGAGAGCACTGTACTTTCATGTACATACACACAGGCACTCATAATTTCAAATAAAAGTAAGTCTTAAAAAAAAACCATTTTGTTTGTTTTTTGTTTTTTCAAGACAGGGTTTCTCTGTGTAGCTCTGGCTATCCTGGAATCCCCTGTGAAGACCAGGTTGGTCTAACTCAGAGACCTGCCTGCCTCTGCCTCCTAAGTGCTGAAACTAAAGATGTACCACCATGCCCAGCTAAAAACATTTCTTAAAAAGGCATAATTAATTATTCCATCAAAAAAGCACTGATCTGTCCTCTCACGGCTGTGACAGGAGACCTGCTGGGAACAACTTAAGGGAGAAGATTTACTTTCGCTCACAGTTCAGGGGCCGCAGCCCACTGTGGTAAGGAAGCATGCTGCCACAGTACAGCATGACTTGTTTCATCTCTGCAAACCAGGAAGCCTAGACCCAGACTAGCAACAGGCCTAGCCTGCCATGCTCAGGGCCTGTCCATGCCCTGTGTCCTGTCAGCCGACAAGGACCACACCCCACCTCGTATGGCTCTTCAGCCTCTGCAGACATCTCCATCAGCCAGTGACCAAGGGCTCAAGCATGAGCTGTGGCAGCATCCCAGACTCAGCCATAGCTCAGGACCATCCCACCTCCTCCATCCCATCCCATAATGAAGGCGGTGAAGACCCTGTAAACCACTGGGCCAGTGAAGAAACATAAAAAGACTAACAGTTCTCATCAGCTGCTCCATTCTCAGCCTGTTCTTTAGAGTTACAGCTGCTATAGAAATTCAACCGATTGTTACTGACGACATACATCATAAAAATTAGGATGTAACACTGACACATAACACAGTTTTTTAAACATTCAAACTATCTCCAAGGTTCATCTTTCCACTAAGGAGAAAGAAAGGATGGGGGGAAAGAAGGGCGAAGGGAGGGAGGGAGGAAGAAGAGAGGCAGGGAGGGGAAGTATGTACCTATGCACGAGCAGCTACACACGCATGCACACGTGCACATACAAGTGTGCACATGCTCTTCTTCCGTAAACAAGTAAGAGGGATCCCATCTGGATAGAGTGACTAGGGAAAATGTCATAGAGACGGGGCATTTGCACAGGTCAAAAGAAACAGATACAGAGTGGGGATGCGTGGGGCAGTGACAGGTGGCAACAGCCTTGTCACCAGGACTGCTTGCTCTGTCCTGACCACAGCCCCACAGAAGCACGTGGTCCAGGCAACATGTTTTGGATCATGTGAACTCCCCCAGCTTAATTTTGTTATTAAAAAAGTTAACATTGGGAGCTGGTGTGGTGGCTTGTGCCTATAGTCCCAGCACTCAGGAAGCCAAGAAAAAAAAAAAAGGCTCTTGCTGCAAGCAGAGGCCTGCCTGAGTGAGCTATACAGTGAGTCCCTGCTTGGGCTAGGTCTGAGACTCTTTCTTAGAAATAATTCTGGAGCTGGTAGAATGCCTGCCTAACATGTACAAAGCCCTGGGTTCAATGCCAGCGTCACTTAAAAAGACTAGTATCATACAAAAGGAATCAGTCACAAGAGGCCACTTACAACATAATTGCATTTCTATGAACTGTTAAAAATAGGCAAAACCCTAGAATTGGAATGTAAATCAGGACAGGTGTGGGCAGTGCACACCTTTAATCCCAGAACTTGGGATTAAATGAATGTTCTGTAGGAAACATGTTGCAGTTCTTAGGGGAAGAGAGTGTTACTCTCGAGCACTTCCAAGGTCATCTCACATGCTTCTGCACATGCGACTATAGACAGTAGGACGATGCCTCTTAGGATGCCTAACGCATGGACTTCAGAGGCAGTGTAGCTGACCCGGTCTTCAATGTGTGCTTTGTTCTCAGTGTTCCCATATCGAAGGCCTCCCGTCCAAGGGCCCCACACCCCCCTGGCTGGTAAGTGAAACATATTCTATGTTAGTTAGTTAGTTGGTTAGTTAGTTAGTTATTTTGTTACTTTGTTTCGAGATAGGGTTTCTTTATGCAGCCCTGGCTGTTCTAGAACTCTGTAGACCAGGCTGGCCTTGATCTGCCTGCCTCTGCCGCCTGAGTGCTGGGATCAAATGTGTGCACCACCACTGCCTGGCTAAGTGAAAGTTTTTTAATCTCAGGCCCATATTCTCTGGCTCTGTCAAACTTCTAAGAACCGTGCCAGAATAAATGTGTTATCTTGCCCTTTAAAAAAACAGATGAGCCAGGTGGTGGTGGTCCGTACCTTTAATTCTACACAGAGAAACCCTGTCTCAAAAAAAAAGAAAAGAAAAAAGAAAGAAAGAAAGAAAGAAAGAAAGAAAGAAAGAAAGAAAGAAAGAAAGAAAGGAAGGAAGGAAGGAAGGAAGAAAGGAAGGAAGAAAGGAAGAAAGGAAGGAAGGAAGGAAGAAAGGAAGAAAGAGAAAGACCTATGTTACTCACCCTTCACCCCATTATTCTGCCCAGGTGGATATAAAGCACCTCTCACCACTGTTGCTGGCTTATGAAGACAGAATGAAAGAGAAGGACAAACTCAGTACCACCCTGGAGGTAGGTGGGCAGGTGTCTCAGAGACGAGCTGTATCAAGTAAGACCGCTCAGACGACAGGAACAACCCAAAGGTAAATGTGCCTAGCCCAGTTGAAGGAAGGAGGAGCGTATAGGGAGCCAGGGAGGGAAAGAGGGAGAGAAGTAAGACTGGGGGAGGGAACGAGTGTTTAGCAGAGCATGATAGGTAGGCGGTGCTAGGAGGAGGGGTCTGCAGGGGGGCGTCTGCAGGGATGTGGTAGCATCTCCAAGTGGTGGTTTGGGAGAGGTAGCCCCATGGGAGTGGAGCTCTTGGGATGCAAAGGAGGAACAGTGGGTGGAGCATCATCCCTGACTCTGCAGCTGTGGACACCACTTGCTGGGCAAGTGGAGATCATACTCAGGCATTTTAGGAAAACTTAACACTCCTGTATCTCAGGAAGCCCTGACCCCAGAAGTGTATCATGATGAGGTTGTTCGCAGTATTAGAAACAAAGATTTGTGCCTTTCTGTTAGTTCATCTATTTCCTAAGAAGGCAACATTCCAGCTGAAATTGCCTGGGCCTGGACATCATCTACACCCAGGGCCCTTCTATGCCTCACACACACTTCTGAGGTCTTTTATATAGGGCATGTAGGTCTCTGTATTGGGAAGACCCAGGGAACTTCTCTTTAAGGGGTCCTGAGTGGGACAAGACCTTTAGAAAGTCCAACAGACTCATCTTTAGTCCTGAAACCCGTTACCTGCCCCATCCCATGAACCTCAAGATGTATTATTAGTTATTGGATTTTTAAAACATTTATATTATCTATACAGTGTTCTGCCTGCATGTGTGCCTCCACACCAGAAGGGGGCATCAGATCTCATTATAAATGGTTATGAGTCACCATGTGGTTGCTGGGAATTGAGCTTAGGACCTCTGGAAGAGCAGCCAGTGCTCTTAACCTCTGAGCCGTCACTCCAGCCCCATGGACTTTGGATTTTTAAGAGCATAAATTAGTCGGGTGGTGGTGGCGCACCCCTTTAATCCCAGCACTTGGGAGGCAGAGGCAGGCGGATTTCTGAGTTCGAGAGTTCGAGGCCAGCCTGGTCTACAGAGTGAGTTCCAGGACAGCCCGGGCTACACAGAGAAACCCTGTCTCGAAAAACAACAACAACAACAAAAAAAACAAAAAACAAAACAAAACAAAAAATCAATAATAAAATTTCCATTTAGTGCTCTTTTTTTTTTTTCTAACTGTTGCTCATATTTATTGCAGTTGGAAAACCTTTAACACATGGAGACAATCTTTGTTAGTCGGCATGTCTATAAATATGTTTATCTAGTATCCTCAGAATATAGTACTGGGATGAATATTGACCCTTCATATTATCACACAGGGCATTGTGAGGAAGGGGCTTCTGTTGGCTACACTAGTTTAAAGGTTTTTTTTTTTTTTTATTGGGTATTTTGTTTACATATCAGATGTTCTCCCCTTACCCTGTTCCCCCCGCCCCCCACTCCCACCCAGGAAGCCCCTATCCCATCCCCCCCCTCCTGCTTCTATGAGGATGTACCCCCACCTACCCCCCCACTCCCACCTCCCCACCCTCGAATTCCCCCTCACACGGCGTTAAATTAAGGGTTGCCCCAGGTTTTCTATGAGGACCAGCTAATAAACACGGCAGGCTTTGTGGACATGTAGTTTCCGTTCACAGATGCTCAGTGTGCTGTTGTAGCAGCCCTAGATGCCAGTGGTGGGTGGGACTGTGTTCCAGTAAAACTTAATAAAAAAAAACCAAGCAGCTGTCCCGATGGCTTCAGCTTGGCAAGACAGTTATAAACAATCAAACAAACAAGCAAGCAAATAGCCACGTAGACTGCCGGCAGCAAATGAGTGTGTCCTGGGGTGAGAAGAGAGGAGGGAAAGGTGCAGGCATGCCGCTGTACGTAGGAGATAAACGCCTGGGGACGTAGTTCCTGCCTAGGGTGCACAGAGCCGTAGGTTCACCCCAACACTGAAAATCGGTGAACAAGAGACCATTTCAGTGCATTCCTGAAGAAGTGTGGACACCCAAGGTCCGCACGAGACCAGCTGGGACACCGAGGTGAGGCCCAGGTCAGGAGCCCATATCTGCCAAGCTGCGTGCACACATCAGGGTGTCTGGCTGACCACGCTGATGCCACTGAACCTTTTCCAAAGGTTAGGAAACCTCTGCACTAACGCTTACCCACTCACAGAAGCTTCCGTCTAGGACCAAAGGACCTAAATACTTTTTTAACATAAAACTCCAGTTTACTTATGGAGCAAGGTACAGGACAGCCAGGATTACACGGAGAAACCCTGTTGTGAAAAACAAAACAAACAATACCTTTTCAATTTGCTCTCCAAATTCTAGACAAAGGCAACCTTCCCATCTCTAGTTTTTATTTATTTTATCCTTCAAGTTTTTCAAGTATTTGGCACTTATAGCAAAGTGACATCATTAGTAGTCGACTACTTAAACCCTAGCGTTCTTCCCAGTGCACAGCGACACTGGGGTGACTTGGATATTCTCTCAGGAAATGGTGCTCCTGAGGGCACATGGGGAGGGGCTCTGGGTCACCGTGCTGGAGCACGCCTCTGCCCTCTGCTCCCTGAGCAACGCATCCCAACAGGGACTGTGTGTGTGAGCATCGCATCCCAGCGGAGACTGTGTGAGTGTGTGTGTGAGCATCGCATCCCAGCGGGGACTGTGTGTGTGAGCATCGCATCCCAGCGGGGACTGTGTGAGTGTTTGAGCAGTGCATCCCTTCGGGGACTGTGTGAGTGTGTGAACAACATCCATGCTTCTTATTTCAGGAGGAAATGAAGACCTTTAGGCTGCGAGTCCAAGAAGTCGTGAAGGAAAACGAAAGCTTGCACCAAGAGTTAACTAAGAGGAGCCCAGTCACCATCGATGAATGGCAAGTGGCATTTGCTAACTTACAACACAAGAGGAACAGCATCGTGACATTACCAAACACAGAAATGTACTTTACTGTATCCAGTGTATTTTATGCAGTTATCCACCAACCAAAACCAAAAACACCAGGACAGGTTAGAACAGGGACCATTAGCTTTCTATCTCTAACAATTCTGGCCACTCCATTCATTCACATGAGCTGTTTTGTTTTGTTTTGTTTTGGTGTGTCATGGTTTTATTTGGTTTTGCAAGGCTTTCAAATAGTAAAGTGTATAGATTTTTTTGTTTTTTGTTTTTTTGAGACAGAGTTTCACTGTGTCGCCCTGGCTGTCCTGGGACTCACTCTGTAGACCAGACTAGCCTCAAGCTCACAGAGACCTATCTGCCTCTGCTTCTGAGCACTGGGGTTAAAGGCACCTGCCACCACTGCCCAGCAGCTTATAAAAAATTTAAAAACGGAGAATCTCTAACACGTGAATAAAATACAACCTCAGTAAACTCTTGTAAATTGGACTTTAGATTTTTTATTTTTTGAAGTACTGAGGAAGGAGCCCAGGGACTCTGCTCTACCACTGAGTCCCTAACCCTGGCTTTTGAAGACAGGTCACAATGTAGCTCCAACTCTAAACTAACCTTGAACTCTGAAGTCCTCCATCTTTCCAAGCTTGGCTTGTGGGCATGTTCCACTGCACCTAGCTTTAAATGGATATTTTATTGATGATTAATTTCGGGGGTTGGGGAGCACCGGGTGTGGTAGTGCAACCTTTAATCCCAGCACTCAGGCAGAAGCAGGAAGATTTATGTGAGTGGAGGCCAGCTTGGCCTACATAGGGAGTTCCAAGTCAGTGAACCCTGTCTCAAAAACAAACAAAAAGAATACAAAAATTTTAAAATATGTACCTGGGCCTGTAGTTCAGTCTGTAAGCATTGCAAACAAAAGGAAGACTAAAGGAAGGCTGGGCTAAGGCTCTATGAAGCCTCCACTCTCCTGCATTGTTTCCTGTGCTACCCTGTGTGCAGCATGCTCCCAGTGAGCACAGCCTGGGCTCTCTGGGCCGGGCCACCCAGGCCCCGTGTGGCTTCACCCATCTTTGTCTCTTCTGCCACCTGGTTTTCTGCCCTATGGTATACCGAGTTTAGGCACTAAACTTTTTTTTTTTTAAAGACTTATTTATTATGTATACAGCAGGTATACAGCATTCTGCCTGCATGTATGCGTGCAATCCAGAAGAGGTCAGCAGATCTCATTACAGATGGCTGTGAGCCACCATGTGGTTGCTGGGAATTGAACTCAGGTACTCTGGAAGAGCAGACAGTGCTCTTAACCTCTGAGCCATCTCTCCAGCCCGGACAGTAAACATTTAATGGGGCAACGTCTAAGGTCCTTCAGCTCATTCCAGTAGTAGTTTTCAGTTCTGAAAGTTGAACCAATACACGACTTTCAATGCCCCGCCTAAATAAGGGGCTTTCTCATGGAGACAGTGAAGCTGGGTACTTTTATATGATTTTAAGACAGTATTTCAAAGCCATCTAATATGTTGGGATTTTTTTTCCTGGCTTATTATTTATTATTTTATTTTATTTTCCCCCACCTCACATCTGATCCACTCCCTTTCTATCTTTCAGAGATAACAACAAAACATTATTATTCTTTTATTATTATTTTTTTTTAGCCTCATTGGTAGTCCAGACTGGCCTGCAACAGAACTCCTCCTGCCTCCGTTTCGCGGATGCCGAGGTTCTAGGCTAGCTGCACCATACCTGGGGTTTTGTTGCTGTTGGCTTTTAAAGGTTATTTATTTACTTATTTTGAAAAGCTTTTTAAATGTGTGGGGTTATTTTGTCTGTGTACCATGTGAGTACCTGGTGTCCTTGGAGACCAGAAGAGAGCATCAGATGCCCTAGAAATAGAGTTACAGATGGCTATGAGCTGCCATGTGGGTGCTAGGAATCGAACCCAAGGCCTCTAGAAAAGCAGCCAGTGCTCCTGACCATTGAGCCACTTCTCCAGCCCCTTATTTTTACTACTTATGAGACCTGAGTCTCACAATGTTGTCTAGACTTGCCCTCAAGTCCTGAACTCAAGCAGTCCCCTTGCCTCAGCCTCAGGAATGCTGGGACTTGTAAGTGTGGCTACCCTAAGCAGCTGCTACTGATTGTGATTGAATGGTTTCAAAGTAAAAACGAGACCTTACAGCATCCAAAAATGTCACGTGGATTGCAGAGCAACTATTCGGGTGCAGGGATTGGATGCTTCAGTGTAGGAAGTGAAACCGGCCATTCTGAGGCCATCTCACCTGAGTTTTATCCACGAGGCAGTCCCCCTCTGCCTTTGTATGGATGTCCGTTGTCACTACACACGGTAGCTGATGTGTCCGTCACGCGGGCATCATTGCTGCCCCGTCCCCCATTCACTGCACGTGGCAGCATTTGCTAGCACATGCCCAGGTATTGACTCATACTGTAGCATATTTCTCTGATCTCTCAAACCCACGGGCAGCATTTAATCTTTTCAATCAATTGCAGGAGGCAGCTTCAGACTCAAGCAGAGCTGGTTCTAGATGAGAACAAGCTGTTGCTCGAGCAGTTGGAGATCCAGCAAACAAAAGCCAGGGACACCCACCAGGCGCACCTCCAGGATGGTGAGTGAGTGATGGTGACGTCCTAGAAAAACGGACAGGGCGGCATATTCCAGAGTTGTAAGTTGGCGCAGCCACAGTCAGCCCATGTGTTCTCAGATCTCTCGTAGGGTCAGCAGAAGTGGCTTTAGGGTAGGATAGCATCTGAGAGGTTACAGAATGAAGCATTTGAAATGACCCAACACCTCCTTCTCCCAGATATGTATTGACTGCACAAGAAAGTAGAACTTTTCTGTTTCCCATTCCCCAGCGTCTGTCACCCCCTGGGTGCAGACAAGCACTTTTGCATTGAAATACAGCCAGTTCTTCTTGTCACTGTTCTATTGCTGTGAAGAGACACCGAAACCAAGGCCACTCATAAAAGAACGCATGTAATTGGAAGCTGGCTTATAGTTTCAGAGGTTAGTCAGTCATCACCATGGCAGGAAGCATGGTGGCGTGCACACGGTGCTAGAGCAGTGGCTGAGAGCTTTATGACCTGATTCACAGGCAGGCAGACATATAGACAGACACAGACAGACTGGGCCTGGCATGGACTTTTGAAATCTCAAAGCCCAATCCCAGGACACATTTCCTGCAATCTCCTAATCTGTCTAATCCTGGTGACTATGCATCCACATCTATGAGCCTATGGGGGTCATTTGTATTCAGATCACCAGACATCCCTCACCCTAGGGTTCTGAGACAGGGTCTGCTCTGAAGTCCGGGTTGACTCAGAAGTGCCATGGAGCCCAGAGAGCCTTTGAAATAACAGCCCTCCCACCTGTACCTCCCCAATGCAAGGATAACAGTGTGTACCACCATTAAGGACACCAGAGGTTAAATCTCTGTGGTCCTCCAGGACTTCCCATGAAGATCCCCTCTTCCAGTGTGTCTCTCCCTATAGCCACCATAGCAATGACAGTCTTCTTCAAAGTGAGCCAAGTTAAGAGGGTTTTTTTCCTCTTGCTTTGATTGAAACCAAATATGAGCCCCCCCCGCCATGGTGGCACACTCCCCCACTTTACTCCTTGAAGACGGGAGTCACAGGACAGGAGTCTTAAGCAGGCTGTCTTGCCCCATCCCTGTGAGCCCCCCTATTTCTTCTGCTATGCACACACTGAAGAGTTCACCGCTGGCCTCTGTCGCAGCTGAAGCTACTGAGCCTGGGTTCCAGGTGCCTGACAACAGGCTGTGTTCACAGAGTCCAGAAGGAAGTCCCTCCACGAACTCGCTACAGGAGCCCTGGAGGCCCCTCTGACTTGTAACTGAGACCACTCACCACGTTCTTCTCGGTTTCCTGGACTAGCTGCTCACTCTGTTCTCTCCAAACTGACAGAGAGTGGAGGGTTTAAAGCTTTGTGCATCCCATTGGCAGTGTCATTGTGTGCCCAGGGAATATCTCATTAGAGTGATGCGTATGCTCATATTGAAATTCTCTCAGTTACAGACAAGTCATGACACATGCTTGCACATCTGTATGCTTGCACATTGTATGACTTGACACTGAAGTCTTTGGGAAGTAAGTGTCTTGAGGGTTAGATTCATGTCTCTTTAGATATCGCAGTGAGCCATAGTAAAATCCTAAAGAACCCAGAGAGGATGGGCTACAGGCAGATAAACAGACAGGAACACACAGACACAGTGGATACCCAAATACATGAACTTACCCGCCCTTATATAAAATGCTGTGGCGTCCACAAAAAACCGACACAGATCCTCCCACATAGCAAAAATCATCTCTAGGTTAATTATAAGCCTAACAAGATATAAATTCTATGTAAATAATTAGGACAGGTTATCTAAGTTAAGATGATAAAGAAGACTCTGTGTCTTGTATCGATGCAGGCTCTCTCCGTCCCCCTCTGTGTGTGTGTGTGTGTGTGTGTGTGTGTGTGTGGTGAGTCCTCTGAGCTCCACCTGCCTCAGTGCTGCGACTACAGGTGTGCCCCGCCATGCCTGGCTTTGTCTCATGGGTTCTGAGGATAGAACTTCAGTTCTCATATCTGTAGGGCAAGCATGTTACCTGCCGAGCTACCTCATCCTCCCCAGATGCAAATATTCTCCCTGGTTATTTCCAGTCCACAGTTGATTGAGTCAGCTGTGGAATCCGCAGATGTGAACAGTTGGTGTCATGTGTGTTAATGTCATGTTAACTGAATGCTTAACACAGGGAAAATAATTTCTGTGTATAAGGCCTTTGGTATTAACTTAAAATTCTCCATAGGATTTTTTTTTCAGTTTTTTCTTTCTTTCTTTTTTTTTTTTTTTTGTATTTTTGGTTGTTTGTTTTTTGAAACAAAGTCTATGTGGCCTCAAAAGCCACTGTTGACCTAAGAATGAGGTTGAGCCTCTGATCCTCCTGCCTCTGCCTCCCAAATGCTGGATGCTCTAGAAGAGCCGTCAGTGCCCTTAACCACTGAGCCATCTCTCCAGCCCTCTCTACTTTTTAAAAGACAGGTTTTTGACATAGGATCTCACTATGTGGCCTAGCCTAGCCAGAACTTGTGATTCTCCTGCCTCAGACCCTGAGTGTATCACCATGCCTGGTTAAAACTTATATATATATTTTTTTTGTTTGTTTGTTTTGTTTTGTTTTGTTTTGTTTTGTTTTGAGACAGGGTTTCTCTGTGTAGCCCTGGCTGTCCTAGAACTCACTCTGTAGAGCAGGCTAGCCTCGAACTCTCGAACTCAGAAATCCGCCTGCCTCTGCCTCCCAAGTGCTGGGATTAAAGGCGTGCGCCACCACCGCCCAGCAAAACTTATATTTTAATCAGTCTTCTGTGCCAAATCTTTATCTTGTCCCTTTTCAGTTTCTAAGCTAACTAAACAACTTGTGCTCCTGGAGGCAAAGACTCAGGGGCAGGAAAAACAGCTCGTGGAAAGCAAGGAGCAGCTGGAGAGCTTGCAGGACAGATGCCGAGAGCTCAAAACACAGCTGGATAGCAAGATCGCAGTGGACGTCCACACATCAATTGTCAATGAACTAAAAAGGTGAGGGTGTCACATCTCTCCAAGCTTGCTTGAGCCCTCTGCGTGATCCGTGCAGAGTGGACAGAGGTGGCTTGAGCCCTCTGTGTGATCCGTGCAGAGTGGACAGAGGTGGCTTGAGCCCTCTGCGTGATCCGTGCAGAGTGGACAGAGCTGTTTTATTTTTGTTTATTGTTGCTGCTCTTTGTTTTTGGGTACCCACCAGGGCCTAGAATCTGGCCACTGGTCATCTGCATCCTTTTGTTTTTTTGTTTTTTGTTTTTTTTGGTTTTTTTTGTTTTTGTTTTTTGTTTTTTCGAGACAGGGTTTCTCTGTGTAGCTCTGGCTGTCCTGGAACTCACTCTGTAGACCAGGCTGGCCTCAAACTCAGAAATCCGCCTGCCTCTGCCTCCCAAGTGCTGGGATTAAAGGAGTGGGCCACCACTGCCTGGCCAGATCTGCATCCTTTTAGTGCCACTTGATTTTACATGAGTACACTGAACCCACTGTCCCCATGTGTACATGGGTACACTGTACACAGGATGTACTATGCCCACAACACTGTACCCAGGGTTTACTGTGCTCACAACACTGTACGCAGGATCCCTTGTACCTATGGTGTACTGTGCAGAGGTTCACTGTACACATGCATGTGCCACTGTAACTATGTGTCTGCCACGTCTCATCCTTCAGCCAATTGCAGAAGGAAGAAGAGAAAGATCGTGCTGAGATGGAGGAGCTGATGGCAAAGCTGACAGCCCTGCAGGTGCAGAAGAAGAGCCTGCTTCTGGAGAAGAGCAGCTGGGCCACCAGGAGCAGAGAGCTAGAGGCCGAGCTGGAGCGCACGCGCAAGACCAACAGGTACCTCTGTGTGTACGCGTGCATGTGTGTGTGTGTGTGCACGTGTGCGTGTGCATGCGTGTGTGTGTGTGTGTGTGTGTATGTGTATGTGCGTGATGCTTGAAAAGTATTTCATTTCCTTTTTATCTCCATTTTATTTCCTTTATCTTTTCTCTCTCTGATAGGAGCAATAAAATGGGAAATAATAACCAGGGGACAGATATCAGAATAACAGAAGCATTTCTGTGGATCTATAGTTCTCAAGTCTGTGGTTCAGATATTGATATCCACGTGGTAGCCCCGGGCTCCAGATGTCTCCTAACCTCAGCCCAAAGCCTGTTTTCCCCCTACTGCATCCCAGTCTCCTTTTGTCTTACTTTTTTTATTTTTGCTTTTAATACATGTACATTTGTTTATTTACCATTTTTAGAGTATCTTTGATAGTGCCATGCATGCACAGAGACATTTGATCTTGATCATCTCTGTCCCAGCTCCTCCCTTCCCACTTACACACACACACACACACACACAAAACGCACACAGAGGCACACACACCAGCACATCCCCTCCCACCTTTGTATCTGGATCTCATTTTCAAAAATATCTTTTAGAACATGAGTCAAAAAGTTAGGAGAATATTATTATTTAATTAGCTGATTTATTGCTAGGCATTTTGTGAGTATGTATATATACATATATATGTGATACGTGTGTTTATATGTGTGTATGTGTGTGTGTATATGTGTGTGTGTGTGTGTATGTGTGTATGTGTGTGTGTGTGTATGTGTGTGTGCATGTGTGTGTATTCTGGTTTTATATACATATATTCACTCTGCCCAAGCCAATGCTCACAGGTTTGTTTGTTTTTTCCCCCCACCACTGGGGGCCCCCTGCAGGCGGTACCAAAAGAAAATTGATGTCCTTAGAAAACAAGTAGAAAAAGCTATGGGGAAGGAGATGTCTGCTCACCAGTACCTGGCAAACCTGGTGGGCTTGGCAGAGAATGTCACCAAGGAAAGAGACAGTCTTAAGTATTTGGTGAGTTTCCTCAAAGTTGTGCAAACTTAAGCTTCATATGCAAATGTGACTTTAAGTCTATTTTTTTTAACAAGTCTATATGTAATAAAAAAACTTAATGCTTTAATATATTAACCACACTTCCAAATTCCCCAAGATTTTATATCTTACCCATGGGCAAGAATTATTTAGTTATTTATTTTGAGGCAAGGTATTGCTGCATAGCCAAGGCTGGCCTCAAACTTGTGATCCTCCTGCCATAGGCTCCCAAATACTTGGGATTATAGCACAAGCAAAACATATTTTAAAGAAAACCAGAAATTCTGAATAATAGCAAGCGTTATTTTAGAAAGCGAAGTATGGGGCGGTGCTCATGTCCATCACACAGCAGCAGGGCGAGGTGTCTGTACATCCCCTTCGGTCACTGCCTGAGCAGTTCCTGCCTGCACACTCGTCCCAATCATCACAGGCAGCGCAGGGGGTGCAGTGAGGTCGTCAGTGCATGTCCCGTGTGTGCAGGGCCCTGGGTTTGGTTCCCCGCACTGAGGGAGGGCTGGAGCAAGCTTCCTGGAGTCATGTAGAGATCACCTCAGGTGTAGGAACAGGGAAGGGAATTAAGTCAGTGTATGCCCCGTGTGTGCAGGGCCCTGGATTTGGTTCCCAGCACTGAGGGAGGGCTGGAGCAAGCCTCCCAGCGTTAGGTAGAAATCACCCCAGGTGTGGTAGCAGGGAAGGGAATTAAGTCGATTATCGGTGTCCTAGATGCTGGAGAAGCGCACAGCCAGCAAGAACCTGGCACGGTTCTAGACACTTCCACACTGATTCAAAAAGATGTCTGCAGCAGATTGTGTGGTCGGAGAAGACAGCTCCTCTCTGTGTCAAGCCATGTGCGTTCAGAAAGGTCTGGTAGATTCCCCCAAGCTCTGACAGTGAGTTGCCTCCAAGGGGCGGACTTCCAGGTGATGTTTCTTACAAGCCTTCTTACTTATTTGAATTTTCTCTTCCGTGTGTTTTGAACACATAACACTCCCCTGCGTCTAAGCATGCATGGGTTTTCTACGTCTCAGTTGCTGGCATGTCAGATTAGAAGGCGGAGGAGGTTAATGAGTGTCTTGACAGAGACACAGGGGCATCATGAAAGGCGGAGATGAGGGCAGGAGGGGATGCCGGAAGTGCTGGGAGGTCCCTCCCCAGGGCAGTGGGCAGAGGTCTCAGCCCTTGCTTGTAGAAGAAGTAGGAGAGGGGAGTTGAGGGGGTGTCACTACTTACTTTTAATAAAACAAATGCTAATTAGACGTGTCTTGATATTGTCTGTACTCAGTGTCACAAAGCATTTTTCACGATGTGACAGTAGCTGGCAGGGCTCCAGCAAGTCTCCTTGAACATTACTGGCAATTTAAAAATGTAATTGGTTATGATTATGGTTGTGCAGGGGTGAGTGAACATCCGTGTGTGTCACTGCACATGAGTGGCAGACAGGTGACAGTTTGTCTGTTCTACTGGGTACCCACTGAGCCATCTCACAGGCCCCATCATGGGCAATTTCTAAGTCTCTCCTGACTTTGACCCAGTGTGAAGCCACTCAGATCTGATTCTGGCTTCTTCTGAAAAGTTGCTGTCCCTGCCACAGTGCTGGTGTTTCCTGGCACCGCACCAAGCGCCCCTTCCCTCCACATGCCCACTGGACTACTGAGCCAATAAAAGCCTGTCGGAAGGTGCAGAACAAAACTGCTCATCTGGAGTGCCTTCTCTGCCAGGGCAGGACGCGTGGGGACCCCTGTCCCTGGGATCTGATCCCCAGTCTTTTGTGGTGCAGTGGAGATTCTTTCTGACTTCAGACGGCCCCTTCAGGCCCACACCTCAGCTTTGCAGACCAGGCATGGAAACACAGTGGAAGACACATAGTTTCTGTATACACATTTAAAAGTTGTAAATGTAGTCAACTTTGTAATGCCTGAGAGCCAGAGCATGAGTCAGCCCTGGATGTGGGTAGGGGTGCTGTCAACCACCCGGTCCACTCTGCAGGACCTCTGATGTCCCACCCCGGGGAGAGGGGGGCTATGGAAGCTGGCGGGGCTCTTCCCTCCAACCCCAGTTGGAGGGGTTGTTGTTTCACCCACATCGGGTGAAACTGACTTCCCTGTCTGTCTCATCCTCCTGGTCTCCTGGGTCTCACGGCCCTCCCAGCCTTTAGGGAAGGCTCCACTCTGCTCTGGGCAGTGACTGCTGACGCCCAGGGCCACGTGTTACTCTGCAGTTCCCCACTTGCTTTTGTCTACTTCCTTTTACACTTTTCTGAGGGAGACACGGTGGTCTGAGGAGTGAACGTGGTAATTGACAATTGGATGCTTCTTCCTGTGTCTGGGAAAAGTTGTTTAACTTTCTCAGTCAGATATTTCCTTTCTAGAAAGTCCAACTGGGCCGGGCGGTGGTGGCGCACGCCTTTAATCCCAGCACTTGGGAGGCAGAGGCAGGCGGATTTCTGAGTTCGAGAGTTCGAGGCTAGCCTGGTCTACAGAGTGAGTTCCAGGACAGCCAGGGCTACACAGAGAAACCCTGTCTCGAAAAAAACCAAAAAAAAAAAAAAAAAAAAAAAAGAAAGTCCAACTGGTACTCCTAGGCGTCTTAGGAGGAAGGCGTCCCATCCCATAGCAGCTGAAACCCTCAACGGTGTGTGGGAGCTTGTTTCCCATCTGGTGTCAGTGCATACTGCTTGGTTTTAGATGACGTCCCTCTTGGATATCCTGACTGCCATACTGGTCTCAGAAGAACATCGTGTTTATATTATTCCCTTATGTTTTGTTGTGATCAAGTTAGCCAAGATACAAGCCTGCTTTTATCACAGCGCTTATTCCTTGAGTACCACTGAAGGAGTTGTGACCAAAGCTACTTATGGACTGAAGAGTTTGGTTTGTTTATGGTTTCAGAGGAAGAGTCTATAATGGCAGCCGGCAGCCAGAGCAGGAGCTGGGAGATCACATCTCACCCCCACCCAGGAAGCAGAGAGTGGACTGGAGTGGGGTGAGGGTATAAACTCTCAGAGCTCACACCCAGTGACGTACTTCCTGCAACAAGGCTCCACCTCCTAAAACTTCCATAACTTCCCCCACTAGGGACCAAGTTCAAATGCCTGAGCCTGTGGGGGATCGCTTCTCATTCAGACCACCACAGGAAGGACAGATACGTCAGCTAGGAGAGAGCAGTGTTCTGATGCCCAGTGTGGTTGTCTCTCCTTGTTGGTCCTTAGCCCTTGTCCAAGCTCTGCCCACAGCCCCTCAGGGAGCGAGGAGGCCAAAAGCGGGACAGGCAGAATTAGACAGAGTGGAGCTCCGTGTGTGTGTGTGTGTGTGTGTGTGTGTGTGTGTGTGTGTCTAGGGATTGAACCCAGGGCCTCACAAATGCTAAGCAAGTGCTGTGACAACGGGTTACAATCAGAGCAATTCCTAGGACTTTCTGTGTTAGCTAAAGTCATGTTTGTGTTTGCGCCCTCTCCTTAGGCTCAGTGTTTAGAGAGCGAGAAGCATGGGGCCCTCAACAAAATCCTGAAAGGCAACATTCGCCTGGGCAAGCTGGAGGAGAGGGTAAAGGTAAGGCCGTTGCGCACCACCCTGTCTTCCCATGGGAGATGGAGCTTCCAAAGGACAAGTCTGTGTGTAGCACATCTGTCTCATGCAAGGAGAAAAGCTGTGCCAACTTTGCTGGTGGGCAGCACCTTGTACCCCCTTAAATAATAACCTGTGGTTTGCTGCACAGGAAAGCACCATGCAGTTAGAAAACTCAGAGAAAGTCTGCAGGCTCCAGAGTTCAGTGATGTCACAGCAAAGAATATATTTTTTAGAGAAAAGTTGTTTTTTTTTTAACCTGGAAATGTAAAAGCTGCACACAATTAAGAGAGAGAGAGAGAGAGAGAGAGAGAGAGAGAGAGAGAGGTTCTTTATTTTTATTATACGTGAATGAGTGTTCATCTGAGTGTATGTGTGTATACCATATGCACGCCTGGTACTATAGAGGTCAGAAGACAGCAGCTGATGAAAGGATTGCCTGTGAAAATTGCAGACATGGGGACTGGGGCTGGGCGTGTGGCTCCCTGGGCAGAGCTTGCCTACCATGCATGAGGCCCCGAGTTTGAGCCTCAGCTCTGTATTGAGCTGGATTCAATGGTGCACACCTGCAATCCCAACCCAAGGGGGGTGTGGGGGGCGGGGGGGGGGCGAAGGAACCCGAGTCCATATCCACTTCACCTACATAGGGAATTTGAAGCCAACCTGGGCTACTTCAGGCTGTGCCTCAAAAACAAAGCAAACAAAAATTTGGAGAAGTAGATTAATTTTCAGAAACATCCAATTGGGTCTGTGATGCAGATATCTTATGTTTAATGTGCGTTTATGGAAGTGTGTGTGTATGTGGGAATGTGCATGTGAGTGCACATTAGAAGTCAGAGGAGGGCATCGGATGCCCTGGGGCTGGAGTACTGGTGGGTTGTGAGCTGTCGACGTGGGCGCTGGGAACTGAATTTGGGTCCTCTGTAAGTACTTGCTCTTAACCACCGAGCTATCGCTCAGGTTTTTTTAATGCCCCAAATTGTTTTGTATCACTTTTTAATTTTGTTTTCTTGAGTCAGAGTCTCACTGTATCCCAAGTGCCCCTGAACTCATCTTTGCCTCTGTCTCCTGAGTGCTGGGATTACCAGGCACACATTAGCACACCCAGTTTTACACATTGCTAGAGATCAAATCCAGGGCTTTGTGTGAGTGCCTGGCAAGCACTCTGTTGTGGTAATTATTTAAAATCGGCCACTTGTTAATCTAACTATCTAAGCCGCAGACTGTCTAAGCTGCAGCGGCTCTGCCTAGCCCAGCCGCCATGTTTCTCGGCCTGAGGCCATGTGCGCGCTGCAGCTAGAATCCGCCTGCCAGAAACACCAGCCCTGCCACCCACTAGATGCCAGCATGAGAGACGGCTCTGCCAATCTTCTACGCTGTCTCCGCAAGGCAGGGCATTGCCCAGACCATTCTGCCACCCATGCGGGCCCAGTAAGAGAATGAGACTCTAATTCTTATAGATTAATCAAAGGCTTTATATGTTTGATAATGATTAATAACAAGATGTTCATACAAAGAGAGTTGTATCCCAAATAGCTAACCTAATTATAAGTTTATAAGTTGTTCCCCACGAGTGCTCTCCATACCTGTGTGGTTCTCCATCCTCCTACATCTCTGCCCTCTCTAGCTCCTCCTCTTCCTTTTTTCTCTTCTCTTCCTTACTCCTCCCCTTCCTCTTCCTCTGCTAACTCCTCCCACCTTAGCTCCTCCCACACACTCCACCCAAGCTGCAGCTGTTCCTGGTCCTTCTGTCTTCTTAGGATCCAGACTTGCCTTCCAGGTCAGCACTGGCTGAGGCACACTCAGTCAATTGGCTCTGGCTTCCAAGAGGCAACACCCCTTGTTCATCAAGTCCCTCCCCTGCAGGGGTACAAGAAGCAGGCAGCACTGAAGCTGGGGGACATCCGTCACCGCCTGATAGAACAGCAGGAGGACTTTGCTGGCAAAGCAGCTCAGTACCAGAAGGAGGTGAAGCACCTGCATCGGATGCTGCAGGAAAAGCAGGAGGTCCTGGATGAGGCTCTGCAGCAGAAAAGGTGGGTGCGGGAGCATCACGCAGAAGCACCTCCAGGAGAACACCTCAGTGCCTTCTCTGTCATTCTGCGCCTGTTCCTTTGAGCAGGGCCTCTCCCTGATTCTGGGGCCTGCATATTCTCTGATAGGCTGGAAGCCAGCTAGCCCCATGATCCCATCTTTTGCCATCCTAGGAGTTGGAGTTATTAGTGTGTTTCGGGTGCCTGGCTTCTTACGTGTGGTTAGGATCCAAAGCCCTGCCCTCGTGATTGCACAGCAAGTGCTCTTAGTCACTGAGCCATCTCTCCAGTGTGCACATGTGCATGTGTGTCTGTGTGTGAGTGCTTGTGTGCATGTGTCTGTGTGTGAGTGCTTGTGTGCATGTGTGTCTATGTGTGTGCATGTGTCTCTGTTTATATGAGTGTGTGCATGTGTCTGTGTGCATGTGTATCTGTGTGCATGTGTGTCTGTGTGAGTGCATGTGTCTGTGTGTGAGTGCTTGTGTGCATGTGTGTCTGTGTGTGTGCATGTGTGTCTCTGTGTGTGCGTGTGTCTGTGTGTATGTGTGTCTCACTGCTTCTCAGCATCCTTGTGGATGTTCAGTGGCGGTCAGGCACTCTCAGTGAGTACCTTTGGTACTTGGTTCCTTTCAAAGTTTCTATCTGTTCACTTTCCTGGTTGACCTTTTCAGTGTTTTGTCTGTTTATTCTGTGCTCAGAGTTTCTATTTAATCCTCTCTTTATCAGTGCTCAGTGTTGGGCTTCTTTCTTGGGGTTCTCCTTTCTTGTTGGTTCTTCTTGAGGCAGCGGAGGGGGAAGAGCATGGTGGAGGGTAAGACTTGGTCTTACAAGATTGGGGTAAGACTTTGTCTTGTGAGGTATTTAGGGTTGCTGTATAATAAAAAGCTTACTTATCTAAGTTACTGTGCTACTGTAGCTGACCTGCCTTCTGTGATCCTCTGAGTTTCTGGCACTTAGCACCTCATCCTAAAACAGCAGGAGATTAAGTAAAGGATTAATTGCTAGAACCTTTCCCTTTTGTCATGATGCCTCTCGCTTGTCAGGCTAGGGGGAAGTTTGGAGCAATAAACTTCTATTGAACCAGGAGAAGAGAATAACACTCAGAAGGGAAAACTTTTACACAAGCAAGTATGCATAAACTCACATATGTTCATATACAGATTCATGATTCACCATGCTCATGTATGCACTTCCATCCAAACCAGCGGGGCCCAGCTTGCATGCATTCTTACAATAACATACTTACAGACACATCCATACATTCTCACAATTACATTCTTACACATACACACACACACACACACGAGTACACTCTCACAATTACATACTTAGACATACACGCGCGTACATTCTCACAGACACAGCCATACTTACACATGCATATGGAGCAAATGACCAAGCACTGGTGCAGAAGGAACTCACTCATTCCGAATGAAGAATGAGCTCCAACCTTTATTGCATAGAGAAGAAAGAGCTTCTTCCCTTTTTATGCTAAATGAATTAAACCTATGTTTGTAAGAAAAAGGCTTTGTTCCTTTTAACAAGCCTCAGCCTGCCTGGTTATTAAGAAAGGACCTGTGCTGCCCCGTGGTCAGGAGAAGCTGCCTGTTCCTTGTGCTCTCTGCAGCCTCTTTTGTCCCTTCCCTCTGCATTCTGCACATTGCTCCCTTAGTTTTTTATGTTACCTGTGTTTCTAAGCTACTCCGCTCTGCATTCTCCTTCTACCTTGCTCCCTCCTCCTGCCCTGATGTCACAACAATGCTCTTACTCTCAACGCCTTTTCTCCCGAAGCTACGCCTGTGCTTCTAAGTTCTTGAGTTCAGTTCTGCCTAAAAAGTGTTCTGTCTAAAAACTTCTCAGCTTAGTTCCCTCTCACAGCTCAGTTCTCCTCAGCTCAGTTCTCCTCAGCTCAGTCCTCCTCAGCTCAGTCCTCCTCAGCTCAGTCCTCCTCAGCTCAGTCCTCCTCAGCTCAGTCCTCCTCAGCTCAGGCCTCCTCAGCTCAGTCCTCCTCAGCTCAGGCCTCCTCAGCTCAG